GGACAGTTTGATTACGTTTTAGGTTGTTTGTTGTAAATGGGCTTTGCGATAAAGCCACTTTATGGTTTGAATTTATTACTTTTTGATATATTTAATGCTTTCTTATAATTCTATTAGTTTCATTGTTTGTTGGTTTATTTTATGCTATTCTAGAGCATTGTAAGTTTATTGACTTTTTCAAATAACAGAGAACGTGTGTTATGCCATTTTTAATTTTATCTCCTGTAGAGACGTACTACAATTCAGAGAGGTGAAGAATTACCTCAGCCCCAACAGTGCCGAAACTGTTGCAGCCTTTATCATCGCCCTTTCTGCCGGACATTTAAGCCAACCAGACTGGACAAATTAAAATGGCATCTGCAGAGCCATTCCAGCAAGGCAGTTGTCTATGATAGAATGGGTATCTTGAGTTGTTTTATGAATGTGTTGTAGTATAGTTAAGTACTTTACTAATGTAATGATTTATTTGTTGATGGTAAGGCAAATCATGTTTTGCTATAAATAAACTAACGCTTGCCTTCCAATTTAATGTATTGACAGTATCAGTTTGTCTTCTGGGATCCCTAAACAATGGCATTGCTATCTTTCATCTTTCAAACTCATTTTGCCCCATTTTAATTATGATTTGACTTTTTCTTAAATGTTGCTGGGTTTTTTTAGTATGCTCTACACGTTGTGCTGGGAGCCCCCTTCGACTTTACATCTGTAAGTAATTAGGAGCACAAGCAATTGGATTTCATGCCGTTTTGATATTTATAAGATTTCTCTGTATTTCTGTCTTAAAGCATGACTTTCCAAAAATCAGGAGATGGTGGGCACTAATTCTTTTGGAGAACTTTGGAGTTGTCCCAGAAAGCTATATCCTTTATTTCCCTACAGTTCACATACCTTGCACCCTATCCCAGACTAACAAAAAAAATCAACCAAAAAATGTTACAGGACAGAAAACCTCCAGAAGACACTAGAGCTACACGAAGAACAAGCTACACCCAGCAGCAGTGAGGTATTTGTCAGTAAATGCGTGTTGTTGCAAATGTGTAATTTATATGAAATAGTACAATTGTATTATTCTTTGCCATTTTGTAATGAAGGAGCTCACATGAAACTGGCTGTAAAGTGGATACATGCCAATAGACGTGTGTTCAGGGGCCCTGTGGAAGAGCCTCTTTTCCTCGGAATGGAAGAGGATGACCAGGATGACCAGGAGAAGGCCCTCCTAACTCTCATCAAAGACGTGGAAGACTGCAGAGACCCATCCATGGAGACTTTTTTAGTTGAATGCCATGAAAAAATGCCATTTTGAAGAGTGAAAAGTATAAGACTTTCAAATTTTTGATATTACAATGCACCTGAGGATCCGCGAGGAACTTCCTCATCTGCTCCAGCGAGCTCTTCTCCTCCAGCGCGCTCTCCAGAGAAGCGGGAGCGTCGCCGCCATCTTCCAGCAGCAGCGGCACCAGCTTTCGGAAGTGTTTCTGCAGCACCGACGCGTCCGCTACCGTCTGCACGGCGGCAGAGACCTCCATCCCGCCGCCGCCGTCCTCTCCTCCGCCACCGTCAGACATGTCCCGCCGCGACGAAGCGCAAAGAGCCGGTGATCGAGCTGTGAGAGAGAGCCGCTGTATCACGGACTCCGACGCTTCACCGGAATGACCAGCGCCCCTCGCGTCGACGATCTTTATTGTTTCACGGAAGTCTGGGATATGTAGTTTTTCCACCGGCGGAGCGAACGCGTGAACGCGGCGCGAGAACTACAAATCCCAGAAAGCCGTCAGCGCGTCTCTGCGGCAATGACGCGTGTATATGAAAGACATGAATACATTTCTTGCCAAATTTTACATTCATAAATGTACATTTTCAAAGAAAACTCCTTCCTTTTTTAAATTTTGATGAGAGATTTTGATGTGCATGTAAGACTCATGGTGTGATTCTTATAAGCTAGCATAGCATGCTTTGGATTAATGCATGTAAACCTCATTGTCTTTTGTTCTTATTCTGTCTTTGTATTTGTTGCTCTTTTGTTACATTAAACCTTATAATGTATCAGACTGATTCCAAATCCGTTTGTTGTGTTTCGGGAGGCAACACAAAGACAGAAACATTAATTTCAGTTACTATTGTAACAGGTTTGTTTAGTCGAGTGCAGGAGCTTAAATCAGGGTAAATCTTGACTTGTGAGCTGTGTCGAGGTGTTACATGTAACAGAATTACGTCATTTAATTACTAAATCAATGTAACTGTAATCAGTCACAGATACCGAGAAAATGTGTGATTAAATTACAGTTACTTATGAAAATGTTACAGCTGTTCCATAACTGATTGATTTCCTATTTGGGTTTATGTATATGCTTTATTTTTCAGAATTAGCTGTTTCTCGTCATAACTGTGCAAATATCGCTGCTATTAAACTATTTCTTGTTAGCCTATGATTTTAAATCTGTATTTAACCTCAGAACGATCTCAGAGTAGAAAGAGGTGCTAAAGTCTGATTTTGTGGTGGCTGTGCTTTAAAATTAAATTATTATAATCATAATTCGAGTGATGAGGGATTCTGAAAGTCTGACAGTAATCAGTGTTAAATACTGCTGTAAGGTTAACCCGGCCTGCTTTACATGTTTCAAAATTATTGATAACAGTTGAAAAAAATCATTAGAAATTTAGAAAAGTAGGCCTAATCAAAAAGTACTCAGTTACATTATTTTAAAGCTGCATTCCGTAACTTGTTTTGGTTAAAACTGATCTGAAATCAATATTTGAGCAAGCACATAAGCAGCCAGTGTTAGAAACCATCTCCTTACTTTAGCTGATTCACAGCGGTTAGCTATAATAATGTTTTCTAGCTTGCGTGGGACGGGTACGTCACGTCTGGAAACACAGAAGCTGTCCCGGCTGCTAGACCATCACATGTGAGGATCGTCTATAGCCTTTTCTCACAGCAGCCGGAATAATTAAACATCATTTTGATGTGAATGAAATTAAATTATATTCCCGTTATAAATCTGCTTCTGATTACAGATAGCCTGAGATTACAAAGATTGGTATTTTAAAGAAAACCAGTTCGAAGAGAGCATAATTAGCTTTTTGGGTTCAAGGAATTTCTTAATATGAAATTCGAAGAGTATGATAATTAGATTAGACTGTGCAGAAACTGAAATCTACTCGCTTATACACACTATACTCATAGTCACCAATGCTGATGTTAACATTAATCAGTTGAGAATAAAGTATAACAATAATAATAATTTGTACGTGATATGAGGGAACCAATCTTTAGATTTAATCACCGTTGGTAGCCAGATTCATGGTAATGCTTGTTTCCTCAGTTGGTCAGAACAAACGTGGCAGACTTGTTACTCGTTCAGATGGCAATATCCGGTGAAAATGCTTATTTGGGTCATATATTCCACGACGTAGGCTAGAATCTGTGCTTGTGACGTACAGTAGATATCCAGCGGTGCGGTGACCGACTGCCACACACTCGTCAGAACATTAGACTCATCCTCGCCGGAGCCGGAGCACAACACACAGCAAGCTAGATAACTCCTCACACAGCTGCAATTCCAGGTTTTCAAACAGAGATGGCGACAAAGAGGCAACACTTACGGACTGCAGCTGTAATAAAGTAACTGAAATAGTTCATACATTTTGAATAGAGTAACTTGTAATCTGTAACCTGTTACATTTCCAAAGCAACCTTCCCAACACTGCTTGTACCTTCTTCAAAAAAATAAAAAAATCACAGAATCAGCGATGGAAACCGTAAAGCCGCTCTGAAGAAGACACGGCTCAAGTTTAGTTATCTTCTGATGCTGTCAGTCAGTGTGCTCATCGATAAATCACTGAGAGTTAGGACCCACAGTAAGCAAGCCAAAAATATGAAAATAAAAGCTCGGATATCATGCACTCAGAATCAGAAACCAGATGAAATATTGTCCGTGATCAAATGCCCTGTTGAACTGCATCCATAAATGTTTACGCTCTGAATGTAGTATACGTTTTGGATTGTGTTTTAGCCACTGTAAATGTTATATATCGCTCCGAGCAGGCAGAAGCAGAGACGTGAATGTGTTTGGAGTCTCGTTCAGTGAAGCATACAGATGCAGAAACATCCAAACACACAATCCTGTCTGTTTAAGAATGACTCTATTGTCTTCTCTTGAGCTGCTTTGAATCTTTGGAGCAGGATTTGAATATTTGATGAACTTTGCAACATTGACACTGATATTTTCCTGTTTATCACCATCAACAATCTGTATTGTATAAAGAATCATGTGACTTGAAAATTATGGCGATTTGTGAACTAATTTAAGACTAAAGGTGGGATGTTTCTGTAATGCAGCAAAACATAATGAAGCTTGTAGTTTTTTGCACGTTTGTGTGATTCTGAGCCTGTGGATGAGAAGCGGTTCACGTCTGTTCTTCCTGTCTTCTAGCCAATCTGAAGAGCTCAGTTGTAAAATGTTTAGTTGTTTTTGTTGCACAGTTATATTTTACAGCATAAACTTGAGGGTTTGCTGTGTTCAGTGTCTCTGTTTGTTTTCTCAGGCTTCACACACACACATACACACTCTCTCTCTCACACACACACACACACACTCTCTCTCTCTCACACACACACACGCACACACACTCTCTCTCTCACACACACACACGCACACACACTCTCTCTCTCACACACACACACGCACACACACTCTCTCTCTCACACACACACACGCACACACACTCTCTCTCTCACACACACACACGCACACACACTCTCTCTCTCACACACACACACGCACACACACTCTCTCTCTC